TTTCTGAAAATATTATTGTGACTTCAGCCTATGTTTTCAGAGCAAAGATATGCCACGTATTTACTTATGACTAGAAAAACAAGTTAATCTTGTAATCCAAAATTACACCTCAATCTACCAAATGCTCCAGTGACATTTACAAGTAAATTTATATTCTGAGAAAGAAAGTAACATTTTTCCCAGAGTATTTTCTGTCTATTAGAACAGGCAGTAACATTGAACAAGTTAACAATCACACAATGATTACGTCAAAACCTTGGATATCAGTTAATGTGTGCTGTCTTATCAATGGTAATAAAAACATCTATTGAAATTAAAATGCCACATCATTTTACAAAACCTTTATCTCATGTCTGAGCAATGTGAATATAATAAACTTCTCTGCCAGGAAAATTGCCTTCTAAATGTAAAAATATATGTATCTTTTTTTGATATAAGAAAGTGTTTCAAAAAAAAAAAAAGAAAGAAAGAAAATGTTTCAGAAAACCTGGAGAAAAGAACCCACACAATTCCTAAAACCAGAAATTATAGGGGTGCCTGGGTAGCTCAGTCAGTTAAGCGTCTGCCTTCGGCTCAGGTCATGATCCCAGAGTCCCGGGATCAAGCTGGCATTGGGCTCCCTGCTTAGCAGGGGAGTCTGCTTCTCCCTCTCCCTCTGCCCCTCCCCCTCTGCTCGTGCTCTGTCTTTGGCTTTCTCTCTCCAACAAATAAATAAAATCTTAAAAAAAACTACAGAAATTCTAATTATATATACTTTCTGAAAGCTTATTACTTTAACAATAAAAATGTCAACTCCAAATTTAAGACTAGATTGAAGTTTTCAAATTTTATCATATATCCAATTATCCAATACAGACTTTTTAAACTTTAATAATTTATAATGTCATTGGTTACTATATTATCAATATGAAAAGAAAAATAACGGTTGGTAAGTCCATACTATGGCACAACTGCCAAGTTGCAAGTAATTTGATTACAGGCCACCTTGTTTTCAGGGCTAAATGTGACTAAGCTACATTAAAGTGATAATATTTTTGTGTTCACATACCTTCCTTTGACATCTGTGGACTTTTAAAATCAAAACATTCAACTATCTACAATAATTTAGGAAAAAGAGAAAAAAAAATCCCAAGATATAAGGCAGGTTAACACAAACATGTATCTTGCAACAATTAGAAAAGACCATGTTGTTTAAACTGGTTGTGTTGAAAAATCCTAAATATGGACAAGAAGGGAAACATACATTCCAGTGGTGGATCCTGTTTGGATTAAACTGTTGTAAATTCCTTTATCAAACCTGTGCTACATTCAAGTTTTTAAATACTTGAGAGCCACTTTTCCATTCTGTAAAAAACATATTATCTACCACGGGGGTCTAAGGATTATATTAGAGAATTTATTTAAGAGCAATCAACACACTGGCTGGTACACAGTTTCATTTATTTTTATTTTTTTTTTAAAGATTTTATTTATTTATTTGAGACAGAGAGAATGAGAGACAGAGAGCATGAGAGGGAGGAGGGTCAGAGGGAGAAGGAGACTCCCTGCCGAGCAGGGAGCCCGATGTGGGACTCGATCCCGGGACTCCAGGATCATGACCTGAGCCGAAGGCAGTCGCTTAACCAACTGAGCCACCCAGGCGCCCCACAGTTTCATTTAAAAACAAGCTAAAGAACTAACCCCAGAAACAAACCCAAACCAGTATTAAATTTGCTAGACACAGTACACTGTGCTAAGAATTGTCAATGGCAAAGTCCAAGAGAAACATAAGATGTGATTTGTGTCAACTTAAAAATGGCTTTCAAGTTGTCAGTTTATTTTTACCATTTGTCCCACAGGAGGAAAAATAAAAATAATTTTAAAAATTAAGAAAAGATAATTAAAAAAAACCCCAAGGTAGGTCTATAGGTAGTAATACAGAAAGTTCATCATTAAATATTAAATTAGTGCTATTTTCAACAAGAAAGAAGTCTGCATGGAATACAAGGAATTAAAGAGCTAACAAAAGATCTATAAGTAAAAAACATTTAGAAGATGCAGGTTTCTACTTCCATTAATGGCAAGCTAATTTGTATCAAAATTGTGAAGGTATCTAAAACAGCTAAATGAAATTTTGTTTTAATTTCTTAAAAACTGAAGGACTAATAAAATATTGAAGAACCACTAAACCAAAATCTAGATGGCAAAACCCCAAAGAGGTAAATAAACATAGCATTTGTGGTTGCTTTTGCCTTCAGGGCATTTGCCAGTCCAGAAGAACCCAATGGGAAAATAAGCTGTGGTTTTGGAGGCAGTGAACACAAAGAGGAACAAAATTCAAAGTTCTGGGCCTATACAAAGTAGAAAGTTTACTAAACCATACTCAACATACATTAAGCTGGGACTCTAAGGACTACACCTTCAGGGTAAGTATGAACCAGAAACAAACTAGCTTTCTTGGTATACATCACCAAATGATCCAGGGGAACTTCAACCCCTGAACTTACTTAGGTTACATAAGTCCTGGAGTGATGGTGCCCAAGGCGTATTTTAGAAACATAAATTCCTACCTGATGGCCTCATATTATTCTGACAAGTTTTAAAATCTAATGACTAGTACCTAGTCATGAGTTAGAAGCATGAGAGGCTACTGCTAACAGAAACAAACCCACCAAGATTTCAAATATTGTAACTGTTACTTCTAGACTACAGTTGACCCTTGAACAACATGGGTTTGAACTGTACAGGTCCACTTATACAGATTTTTTTTCAATAAATACAGTACAGTACAGGGGCACCTGGGTGGCTCAGTCGGTTAAGCATCCAACTCTGGATTTCAGCTTAGGTTATGATCTCAGGGTTGTGGGACTGAGCCCCATATCAGGCCACACGTTCGGCGTGGAGTCTGCTGGAGATTCTTTCCCTCCCTCTCTCTGTGCCCCTCCCCCATACATATTCTCTTTCTCTCAATAAATAAAGCCTTTAAAAAAATACAGTACAGTACTATATCCTCTCTTATGATTTTCTTAACATTTTTTTTTCTAGCTTACTTCATTGTAAGAACACAGTATATAATACATATAACATACAAAATATGTGTTAATTAACTGTTTGTTATTGGTAAGGTTTCTGCTCAACGGAGGGCTATTAGTAGTTAAGTTTTGGGGGAATCAAAAGTTATATGCAGATTTTCACCTTACAGGGGGTTCACCTTACACCCCTGCATTGTTCAAGGGTCAACTGCATGTTTGCCATATTAAAGAAGTTCTAATTTAGAGCTTGAAAATTTTTTCAGGGAACAAAGAGCTATAAAAAGTGACACCGCTAGGGGCACCTGGGTGGCATAGTTGGTTGAGTGTCCTACTCTTGGTTTTGGCTCAGGTCAAGATCTCGAGAGTCCTGGGATCAAGCCCTGTGAGCAGCACCATGCCCAGCTTGGAGTCTGCTTGGGATTCTCTCTCCCTTCTCCCTCTGCCCCTCCTTGCGCACACATGCACCCCCTTGCTCTCTCAAATAAATCTTTAAAAAAAAAAGTGATACTGCTGGTTTTAAAAAGAATCAAACAGAATTTCTAGAAAAAAAGTAACTGGAATTATGAACTAATTGATGAGTTTAACAATAAATCAGAAGCAATAAATTAGAAATGTGTTTACAAGATAATAAGTAATTGGAAGGGTAAAGGTTTTACTTTCTATAATACAGTGCAGAAGCAATAAAAAAAAAAAAAAAGAAGAGCACCAGCAAAAAACAATTTCCCACTGAACCCAGGATGGCAAATCTTATCATAAGCCACTTCTCAAGGTAAAAATTAAAATTATAGCACCTATCGAGGCTTACTTCAGCTAGATGTTTTAGAGTCCCCAATTCCAAAGTATAGCCAAATCCAAAAGTTATACCTAACTAGGGATTATAACATATATGACAGAATAAAAGTTCCTGTGAATTGATTTGCTAAAAATTTGCAGGTAGTCTTTCCAGATCTTTAAAAAATCTCTTTGTTACATACTGATTATCCACTCTGTAAGTCTTGACTTTTCTCACACTAGTTTCTCAACCTGGGCACTATGATATTTTGGGATTGATACTTCTTTGTTTTGAGAGGCTGTCCTATGTACTGTGGATGTTTAGCAATATCCCTGGCCTCCACCCATTATGCCAGTAGTGTACTCTAAGCCAGCAGAATCTCCCAGGTGTGACAATCAAAAATGTTTCCAGACATTACCAAGTGTCCACTGGGAAACAAAATAGACACCTGTTGCCTAGCTGTCAGAGAAATTAAACTAAATTAGGGAAAAAAAACCTTCTAAAGTCAAGTATAGTTATTTCTATATATCAGGCATTAGATCATTATTATTTGAATGACATATGAATAATAATTCTATTCATGCTAGACATATTTCATTTGGATAGCCTATTTCCTACTCTATTCATTTTGAAGATTAAATAAAACAGAAGACAGAGCCAGATTAAGAAAGGAGTCAGTAACAGAAATTTTAAGCTGATTCATTTTTTAAATTACTGACATTTCAACAGATCCAACAAACAGTTACTGCTTGTTTTCTATGCATCTAGACATTATTAACTATATGATATAACATAACTGGAAAGGTCTTAGGAAAAGTAAAACATTTCAATATATTATTTTGGAGTTCTTAATATTTGTGCAAAACTGTTTAGCAGGTAAATGTTACAGAGAGAGCATGAAGAGGTTTTACTATTATAGCTTAATCATCTTTGTATGATTCGTAAGAAATGATATAGTTTATTGTCTTCCTTTCCCTCTCATTTCAAATTAGAACATTCCTCTAAAAATTAAAAGTTGAAGGACTACTTTTGTGATATGCCCTTCCTCTGATAATCTTATAAAATTGGAACCATGACCTTATGACCTATTTTCATTCCTCAACTATATGGCCAAGTAAACACATTGTTTATGATTTTTAAAAAATCATGCTATCAAATGTTTAACAGGCTAATAAAGAAAAATATCCATAGTTTTTAACAGATAATAAGGCTCTTACCTACAAGCAACATTTGGATCAGCATTTCTTGAAAGCAGTAGCTCTACACACTTTAAAATCTGTTCCTCTGAGCCACGTGCAGAACATGCAGTTATCAAAATAGTCTGCTTATCTGGAGTGAGAAGAAAAGTGAGGAAGCGCCCCCACACACATCAAGAAGTGTATCTGAATTTTTTTTATCATTCAAAAGATTCTAAATATTTCCTGTACTCTTAAAATTTTATAACCTATTCTCAAATCTCTTACTCTTAGTAGATACCTTTGTCTCCCTGTCTACCTTCATCAAAAAATGAGATTAGGGATGAACTGCCTTAATCTCCAAAATATATCTAGGGGCACCTGGGTAGCTCAGCTGTTAGGCATCTGCCTTCGGCTCAGGTCATGATTCCAGGGTCCTGGGATCGAGTCCCGCATGGGGCTCCCTGATCAGCAGGAAGCCTGCTTCTCCCTCTCCCACTCCCCCTGCTTGTGTTCCCTCTCTTGCTGTGTCTCTCTCTGGAAAATAAATAAATAAAATCTTAAAAAAAAAAAAAAAATATATATATATATATAAAATTCATTTCTTAATTTCCCTTCCTTATTCCCTTTCGTTTAAGAAAATAGGAAAGTGATAAGAACATGAATGCTGTGTAGAGATACTGCCTGGAGTTGAACAGTTTTTGGTTGAAAAAACTTTGCTTTGCTGAACTTGTAGTTGAAAAACAGTAATTGATATTCTCTGATTTCACTTCTTTATTTCTCATTCATTTGACATCTCAGTGAAATTTTGGTTTTTATCCAAACCATCCTACTGAAAATGACCTAACTGCCATATCCATTGGTTTCTTTTTGGTTCTTTTCTACTGGATCTCTCTGAGCTCACCCTGTTCCCTAAAACTTCTCCCCTTGGCCCCTATGGCACCAAAAGGAATCACAGATTAAAAAAATAAAAATACCTTTCAGGTAAGAATTGGGGAATTCAAAATAGGTCATGGCAGCTATGGTTTACATCAGTGGTTTAATACTGATCAAGTATAAAGATTCTAGTCCCAGTTCTACTACTGATAAACTGACTCCAGTGATACTTTAATATCTCAGTAGACCTAGCTTATAGATAGGAAGCTGCCCTCTTTACCTGATGGGGCTATGGTTGAATACATAAAAGAATTTATGCGAACATGCTGAGAAAAATATAAACTGTTTTATAACTAAGTATTCCTCTGATTACAAAAAGCAGAGAAAGAAAACTATTAATTTTTTAAATTTATTTTTTTAAGTTTTTACTTAAATTCCAGTTGGTTAACACGCAGTGCTATATTAGTTTCAGGTGTAAAATACAGTGATTCAACACTTCCATTCAACACCCAGTGCTCATCACAAGTGTACTCCTTAATCCCCATCCCCTATTTCACCCATCCCCACATCCATCTCTCCTCTGGTAACATCAGTTTGTTCTCTATAGTTAAGAAAACTATTATTTTTTTTAGAATATTTTATATACTTTCAGAAATCTCATTCCTAAGTCCAGCTTTCACTGGGTGATATTTTAAAATGACATAATAAAAAGAAAAACCTATTACAGAAGCAGATTAAACATAAAACTACTGAAAAGATGGGAAGTTATATAAAATACATACATAACAAAACAGAATAGAAATGGTTTTACAAACATCTACTGTAGGTACAAAGTAAGTGTGAAAATTAATTCTAAAGTGAAATCAATATGTGAATTATGAAATGAATTTAATTGCCTATTGGAAACATGTTAAAAATAAGTAAGCAATAATTCGATATAATAATTAAACTGGATTTGCACATATACTCTTATTTTTCAAAAGCATCCAAAGGAGTACAGAATAGGAATTATCTAATAGCAAGGAAACATATGGATTTAATAACCTATCTTTGAAACAACCTTAGGTGATATAATTCAGAGTTGAGTTTTAAATTCTAAAGACTGATTTTCAAGTAATTTTTGACAAAATTATCCGTCTTTTATTTCAATGCATTTTTCCTTTAAAAAATAACCAAACCCTCTAGCATAGAAATTAAATGTATATAACAACGTAAGCAGTTATTAATATACATGCAATCTATCTTTTTGGAAAGAGAGTTCCCCCCCCCAAAAATCTATGGTTTTTAATTTGATTTTGTATCTTAATTACATAATATAGCTAACAGGAAGGCTTGTTTTTTAAACTGCTTTAATTTTTTTCACTTTGCATAATAGTTGCTTGGGAATCAAGAAAATCACAGTAAACAAAATCAGTTGGGTTACCTCAACATCTTACCTTATCTTTTTTCAAGGACAAAGGTTTATTTTAAAATGAATATATAAAAACAGAACATGGAAAGTATAAATCACCACCCCTAAATATTATAATTAGGCTTCTAAACAGAGATACATACAAAGTAAATACTCACATATTTTAAATGTTTAAAACACCTTACCCTTATCAAAGCTTGCATTAGCACCTCTGTCCAGAAGGACCCGAACCAGCTCTACATTGGAAACACTAGCAGCATACATAAGAGGAGTCCATCCATACCGAAAGCTGGAATCTACACTAATGCCTGTCAGTATAAAAAGCAAGTTTTAACAGCTTCCTCCACCGAAAGAAAAATCACTGCCACCTTCATATGCTTAAAGTACTGTGCATAGTAACATATACCATGTAATTTATAACAAAAAGGAATTTCTTGGTAATAATGGCCTTCAAGTAAATGATTGTAGCTCAAAAATATTCAAAGTAACACTGTATGGTTTGGGGATAATATATACCTAATAAAAATATAAGGACACGCATTGGAATGATAAATAACTACAACAGAATGGTTATCTCCAGGGGTAAGGAGAGAAACTGCTATACCTTTCAGAATATATGAAATATTTAGTAATTTAAAGAGAACTGAACAGGGGTGCCTGGGTGCCTCAGCTGGGTAAGCGACTGCCTTTGGCTCAGGTCATGATCCTGGAGTCCCAGGATCGAGTCCCACATCAGGCTCCCTGCTCAGCGGGGAGTCTGCTTCTGCCTTTGACCCTCTCTCCTCTCGTGTTCTCTCTCTCTCAGATAAATAAATGAAATCTTAGAAAAAAAAATAAAGAGAACTGAACATATTGACATAATAACAAAAACTGGAGACATCTTTGAACTGTTAGAAGTGGCTGACTCAAAGGGAACTTTCATTTTTTTTTTGAAGATTTTATTTATTTACTTAATTGACACAGAGAGAGAGACAACGAGAGCAGGAACACAAGCAGGGGGAGTGGGAGAGAGAGAAGCAGGCTTCCCGCTAAGCAGGGAACCCAATGCGGGCCTTGATTCCAGGACCCTGGGATCATGACCTGAGCCGAAGGCAGTCGCCTAACCAACTGAGGCGCCCTGGGAACTTTCATTTTTTATCAAACTTCTCAACTGGTGCAGAAATATATATCAAAACCAAGAATAACTTTGGAAGGCAAAAAACTAAAAATATTTTTTAAAGTGTGAAATAATGACATCTGGAAGGAAACTAGGAAATGCTAAATTAAGAGTTACCTGTGGAAGTAAGACTTCAGGGGTACTGGGGGAGAAAGTGGGTACAAAGGTTATCTTCTACTTATACCTATATATTTATTATTGGCTTCTGAAAATTAATTTTTAAAATGTTTGTAATTAAAAACAAATTTTAAAAGGTTGACTAAATATCTACTTCACCAGTAGGTCTTTTCAAGTCTTAATCTTTCAGGAGCCTCCATCATTTCACTGCACCTAGTCCTACTACAAACTCAAGCCCCAAGGCAAATTCTCTTTTCTAAAACAAATTTTTAACTATTCCATCCCATCCAGCACTGTGCACACTCCTGCATGTGTTCATATTAGGTATTAAGGCTGTTTCAATTATTCAAATTTTATTTAGTTTCATTCTTCAATTACAAGCTCAAGTTCCACTGTCCACAAAGTCACACAGATCCTTCTTTTTTGTTACAACAGCTAATATTTATATAATGTCTGTATGTTTTAGATCTTTATGTATTCTTTCACTTTAATACACCCCCAAACCCTCTGATATTATGCATCCCCATTTTTAAAAGGGGGAAATTGAAGCTTAGGATGGTTAAGTAACTTGGTCAAGATTACAAAGCCATCAGGTGGCAGGGTTAGTAATCAAACCCAGAACTGTACTGTTTCCGAAATGATTCCTTTTCCACTAAATCATGCAATGTCTCTAGCATTAAAGAAAAACATTTTGCTATATACAATCTCATTTATCTATTCTGTGTGAATGTTTTGGATTTACAAGTAGATAGTAAATGCCTGTTACTCCTTTGGATAATTTCAATCATATTATCAACAACTCACATTCCCACGTCAGGTAATTCAAAAAATTAATATTTAATTTGATCACAGAAAAATGGTACAGGATCCTGGACAGAATTATGACGTTTTACATAAAGAAACTGATGCGCTGGAAGTTTAAATGACTTTCCTAAGGAACCACAATTAGCAGGCAATAAAGCTGGAACAGATATCCACATATTGTGATTCCTACCTCAGGCCCCATTACACAGACACCTAACACAACGAAAGAACGTAACTAAAATATACATAACTAGAAACAGTTCTGGAGAAACATGTAATAATAGTATAGACGGTAAATGCTGAGAAAAATATATAAGAATTACTCGAGTGGGGTAGGATTAATCGGAACAGGCTTCTTGAAGGAGGTCGAAGAACTGATGGAAGCAACAGGGTGGCATTCCAAATTTGAGCGTAGAAGAAGAAAATAAGGCAAAGAGAACTCAGAATCAAGTAAGATATATAGAACACTCGATACATTAACATTCATTGTGCTTCCACTAGAAAAGCAACTCAAACCTTTTAAAATAAGGAACCCTTGTAAATGTAGACAATTGTGTTAGGTTGAAACTATCCCTTATCTCTCACCAGACTCTAGGAGCTCCTCGACCAATGAAATATCTCCTGTGGTCAATGCTTTTTTAAATGTTTCATTCTTTTCTTCAGGGAGTAATGGCCCTTTTAATTTCTAAAAAAGATAAAGTTAAAAAAATTGTTATACATATTTTCATTTCCACTACATCAGAAAACAATGACTGGTTTCAGGTACATCTTTTTGGGGGGCGGGGGGAGTGCAACATACAAATTCGTAAGGAATTCATATCTAAAATTATCTTTAAAGGGAATGGGTGTAATGCTATGGGTCCAAACCCAAGTGAAGAGCTACATCGACGACCTAAAGAAGCATTTGATGGAAAGCACAAAAGGGAACAGGAAAACCCCAGGTTTGTTGGGAGTCTATAAGCCTGTATTTCCACTAGGGATACACAGGCAAGCAAGAGGTTTCACGAGGTCGGGCCTTCAAGGGCCAGGGGGTGCTGATCCGGGTGCGGTCAAAAAAAGGCCTCCTAGGCTACCTGAACCGCCCGGTCGAGATAACCAATCTCCCAGCCGTCATCCTCGCTCTCGCTACTCTCGCCTCCACCGGCCACTGCCAGCCCGCGTAGGGCAGTGGCCGCCATGCCCGCCGACCTCTCCCTAAGCACACTGCACCGCCCACCCGCTCCCCCGGCGCCTGCGCACTGGGGGAGCACGCAGGGCTGCGCGGGAAGGCGCGCGTGCAAGAGGCCTTGCGCCCTTAGGCGCAGGCGCGTGGGCATGCGTAGTGGCCCTCACCTTCCCTCTATCCAGCAACCAGCCCTGTGGTTTAGGGAGGTGCAACCGTGCCTAACGTGGTAGGGCCGGTGGACCTGAAGCTCCTGATAAGGTTCGGTACCACGCTTCTAGCCACTGCTTCCATTCCTTTCAGGGACTTACTCTTCATTCTTTTTAGGGTATTTGTTTGATGAAGTTCTTGCTCTTCAAGGAATGCCCTACTTTCGGTGGAGCATAATGGGGATTAAAATGCCAAGTAAGACTAGGCTTTCTCCCTTATCACCTTCAGCCGCTCCCTCGCTCCCTCGGGATGAGGGAGAAAGCCTGTCTAACATGCGACTCCCTGGGAGAGGGACAGCTCTTGGTCAGAATACAGATAGGAGCACCATCCTTGCATTCAGAAAGCCATCAAACGGTAGCTGACAAAGGAGCCAGGAGAAAATACCATCCCAAAGGAAGAATTCTTTTTCCTTTAAATTTCATGTGCCCTCAGATCTCAGCTTAGATTTGGAAACTTCAAACCATCAAAACACCTTCCCAGCTAGACACTATGGATGCCCTAAAGGAAAAAGTCAACAAAGGGGGAGTTGGGGGAGAGAGTGGATCAAAGTGCTAGGAAGAAGAAATGATTTAAACGTTCAGAGAGCAAGTAAATAAACAAACAACTCCCGGTGAAAGCCACCCAACCTCAAACTGGCTTTTCTGTATCTAACTACTGGATGAAATGGTAACACATTAATTATCTTTGCCACAGAAAATTAGATCCATCAAGAAATAAGTCACGTTTGTATCCCTCGAGATGATTGTTTTTAAAAGATTTTATTTATTTATTTGACGGAGAAAGAAAGGGGGGGGGCACAAGCGGTGGGAGCAGCAGGCTCCCTGCCTGAGCCACCCGGGCGCCCCCATCAAGATGATTTAAAAGGAAAATAGCCATACACCATTCTTTAAAAGTTTTTGTTGTACTTTTTTTCTTAGAGAGTCTCCAATATAAGATTTTGAAATTGTTTCCTTAAGATACTTTCACAGATAAGTATTTTTAAGTAGTTAGGTTATTTTGGGCCCCACCTGTGTTTTCTAAATGCATTCCTTCAATAAATGTTATGGATTGTTGAGTACAACTAGGCACAACTAGGTTTGGGGAGACAACATCAAAGATAAACCAAGCTGCCTCAAGGAGCTCACATTTTAACCAGGAGAGACAATAAGCAAGCAAACAAATAAATAAGGTTATTGCAAATTAGAGGTGCCACAAAGGAGGTAAGTGTGCTCGGTTTCTGGAATCAAACCACTTAGGTTTCCTAGCCAAACCACTTATTGCTGTTAGCTGTGTGCCCTCTAGCAATTTAGCCTCTTTCTTCTGCTTCACTTTCCTAATCTGTAAAATGGAGAGAATGATAGTACTCACCATATAGCATTGTTTGAATAAAGTAAATAAAGTCATGGGCTTGGCATAGGGTTAGTCTCAATGTAAGAGGTAAATAAATTTTAGCTATGACTATTATTGTCATTATTTTCGATAAGGTAGTTAAAGCTGAGTAGAATTCTGAATGACAAGGAGCCAGCCATAAAAAGTCAGAAACCAGAGCGTTCTGGCAGAGGAAGTGGCTAGTACCAAGGCCTGAAAGCAGGAAAAAGCTTGCACCCAGGCCTGAGACTAAGATGGGCAAGTGAGACTTCTTTAAGCTGGTGGCATCAAAGGCAACCATACTGTTTTGCATCACAAGCAAAATTTAAGGAAGCACTTCCTTCAGGAAGGACCTTGCAATTCTTATATTTTGCATCTGGGCACCTTACTTACTTCACCTTCATCCTTGCCCTGCTTGGACCAGAAAGGAGGCCTGAGGTTGGACCATCATGAAGGAAGTGGTGTGTAATGAGAGGACCTTATGGAACTTAAGTAAGTAGTTTGGATTTTACTTTAAGAACAATATAACATTAAATATTTTTCAACTAATGAATGACATTCTTGTGTGTGTGTGTGTGTGTGTGTGTGTGTATTTGAAGACACTCAAACTCTTTCGTAAAGAAGGTTTTTGGTCTGAGCATTTGGCTAGTTAGTGGTACCACTTACTAAGATAGGGGAAGACCAGAGGATAAACTTGAAGATGAAATGAGCATCTCAAAATTAACATATTCAAAATGAAACACTGAAGTGTAGCTGTCAAGTGGGTAGTTGGATGTTCAAGTATGGAGCTCAGGAGAAAGACTGGTCTTAGAGATATAAATTTGGGAATTATACCCATATTGTTATTTTATATGCATATTGATTACACACAATAATCAATACACATATTGATTATTAAAAGCAAGATTTTTCTTTTTTGTAAATATACATGCTTTTGATTGAATGTTTGTGTTTCCTTTCCCCTAAAATTCATATATTGAAACCTAATCCCCAAAATGATGGTATTTGGAGGTGGGGCCTTTGGGAGGTGATTAGGTCATGAGGGCAGAATTTCATGAATGGGATTAGTGCCCTTATAGAAGGGACCCCAGGAGCTCCCTTGCCCCTCCCACCATGTGAGTACACAACCAGATGCTCTATGAACCTGGAAGTGAGCTCTCACCAGACACTGAATCTGTTAGCACCTTGATTTTGGACTTCCCAGCCTCCAGAATGGTGAGAAATAATTTTCTCTTATTTATGAGTCATCCAGTCTGTGGTATTCTGTTACAACAGCCTGAACAGACCATGACGATAGATAATTACAGAATTTATGTGGAAAGGCAAAGGAACTAGAGAGCTAAAACAATTCTGAGAAAGAGGAATAAAGTAGGAGGAATTTCTCAACTTGATTTTAAGTCTTAATATGCAGTTAGAGTAATCAGGACTGTGTGGTATTGGAGAAGGGGTAGACACATAGATCAATGGAACACAACAGAAAAGCTAGAAATAGACCCACACAAGTAAGACCAAATTATTTTTTACCAAGGTGCAAGAACAATTCAGTGGAGCTTCCTTAACATCTTCAACAAAGGATGCTGGATCAACTGAATGTCCATAGGTAAAAAAAATGAACCTATCTAACCTTCATGTCTTCTATTAAAATTAACTCAAAATGGATCATGAACACAAATGTTCATAGCAGCATTATTCCTATTAGCCATAAAGTGGAAACAACTCAAATGTCCATCAACTGATGAGTGGATAAACAAAATGTGATATCCATACCATATATATTAGTTTCCTAGAACTACAATAACAAATTACCATAAACTGGGTGGCTTATAACAATTTATTTTTTCACTATTCTGGGGGCTAGAAGTCTGAAATCAAGGTGTCACCATCACCATGCTTTCTCTGATGATTCTAGGAGAGGATCCTTTCTCACCTCTTCATAACTATTGGTGGTTGCCTGCTGGCAATCTTTGGTTTTCCTTGCCTCCTGGATGCATCACTTTAATCTCTGGCTCTATATTTATAAGGCATTCTCTTCTGTGCGTCTCTGTCTCTACATGTCTGTGTTGTCTAAATTTTCTTCTTCTTGTAAGTCATATTGGATTTAGGGTTCTCTCTAATTCACTATGACCTCATCTTAACTTGATTACAAATAAATTCCTATTTCCAAATAAGATCACACTCAGAGGTTCTGAGTGGCCATAAATTTGGGGTAGGGGGCACTATTTAATTCAGTGCACTATACATATCGCTCAGCATAATGTTTTCCAGATCTACACTGTGGTATGTTCTATACTTAATTTTCTTTTTATGTTGAATATTGTGTGGTATTGATCTCAGAAGGTGATTTCAGAAGGTGGCAGGATCCATTGGAAGGTTACTACAATGTGGGGCACCTGGGTGGCACAGTGGGTTAAGTGTCCCGACTCTTGGCTTTGGCTCAGGTCATGATCTCAGGGTTGTGGGATTGAGCCCTGTTTCAGGCTCTGTGCTCAGTGCAGAGTCTGCGCGAGATTCCTCTCTCTCTCCCTCTGCTCCCCCTCCCTGCACACAATCTCTCTCTCTCAAATAAATAAATAAATCTTTAAAAAGAAAAAGAAGGCTACTGTAATTGTGAACTGCAAAAGGACAGGAAAAATGGAGAGGAGAGGATACATTCAAAATTTATCGTAAATTGGAATCAATAGGATTCAGGGATTGTATATGAGGGATGAGGGAGAGAGAGAAGTCAAAGCTGATGTGGTAAGAACACAGGAAAAAGAAAATGTTTTGAGGAAACAGATAAGTTTTCTGCCCAGAGACAGTCTGAAATGCCTGAGGAATATCCATGTCCAGATAAGGTCGGGAGCTCCCCAGCGAGGCCCAGACTATCAGTTTAGCCTTAGGAATCATTTTCCTAAGAGGTAATAATGGATCTATTAGAGCGATGATATTGTTACAGGAGAAGGGATAGGATGAGATGGGCCAAGAATATCCTTAGGGAATGATTTCTTCTTCTTTTTTTTTTTTTTTTTAAGATTTTATTTATTTATTTGACAGAGAGAGACACAGCAAGAGAGGGAATACAAGCAGGGGGAGTGGGAGAGGGAGAAGCAGGCTTCCTGCTGAGCAGGGAGCCTGATGCGGGGCTCGATCCCAGGACCTGGAATCATGACCTGAGCCGAAGGCAGACGCTTAACGACTGAGCCACCCAGGCGCCCCAGGGAATGACTTCTTTTAGGAAGCCACCAGAGAAAAAGAAGCAGCAAAGGGGACTGAGAAATAATAATCTTAGAGGCAGAAGACTAGGAAGAAATCAATGCCTCAAAAATCTTACACTGAGCTATAGCCTAAAGATAGAACGATAAAAGCAATAATGATAATAAATTCATTTGATTGTACTTCCCATAGGCCAGTCACTGTTCTAAGGGCTTTACTTGTACAAAGTCAGTTAATACTCTCACAGCCCGATTGAGGTACATACTATCT